CAGTGAAGCAGATGCAAATAGGGAATACATTTCACTGAATGCAAGATCTTAAACTGCTATAAATGGTTTTCCTCTCACTTTCAGAATTGTGAAACAGTCACAAATGTTTTGCAGTCTCATGTCATCAGAGAAGGGTTAAATTGGCAGAACAAGATGTACTCTCCCTTACTTTTTAACTTGCACAAAGAAACTAGGAATAAAAAAAGAACATAAATCCCCAAAGCAAGCATGAGTTTGGGATGTTGTGTTAGACTGAAACTGCTCAAGAGCCATGGAGATCTTTGTTTGGATTGGTTTCTGCATAACAGAGGAGTTACCAAGAAATCGGTTTACTCAGTCATAAATTTGCAGAGTTGCAGAAATGGAAGCTATAATGATGGCATCTGGTAGTGAAAATGAAGCATATCTGCAATGTCTTACTTTGTTCCTAGAGCTAAGGAAGAAACTCAGGTTGTCCTGTGAGTCCGTCAATGGAGGACTCTGTATGATCATGTTATCATGTTTTGTTTGAGTGGAGAATGTCCCTTGTTGTGCTTAATTCTTTTACAACAGCTGCTAGTTTAACTTGATGCATACTTCTTTCAATAGAAAATAAAACTTTTGCTCCACCTTAAAAAGTAGAGTTTAACAGTTATTTGCAAGCTGACCTTCTGTGATCAGGGATTCTGTCATTTACATGGCATTATATCCCTTGCATGTGTGTTGGGTTTTGCTGTGGGATTTTTGTGGTATTAAGGTCAGATACTCAAATGCAGCCTTAGGAAAAACATACCCATCTTGTCTGTGCCAATTTATCTAAGCAAATCAGAGAGTCGTTCCTCAGATTATTTATAGGAATCTACAAAAACCTATTTTTGTGTGAGTGTGTGGAATGTGTACGTTATAGGACTTTGTTTAAGGCCATTTTAAAGAATACTTTTCATAGAGTATGGGTTACAAAAATCTGAAAGAAAATACATCTCAATTGGGATAGCCAGATGTTGTATTTGAATTAATGGACTTAGGGGAAAAAAAAAAAAAAGGCTTGCTTAACTTGGTATTCGTTCATTGAAAACAATGTATTGATTACAATCTAGTACATTTTGGTTCCCTTGCTTACACTTTTGTAACTCTTGTTTCGGCCTGGGTTGGTCTTTATTACTTGCAAATAGTTGATGACTTCTGGGTGAACTGTGGTATAATTATCAAAGATTTCAGCTGTGAAGCCTTTAAAAGTCTGACTTGATTTTTGTTCTCAGATTCTTGTGGTCTGTTGCTGACATATTTCAGCAGTGTTTCAAATAATGGCTTTTTTGTGGTGTCATTTTTTCATGTTCTGACAAATATGCTGAAATGTAGCATAAAGATTTTTTTCTGAATTGCTGCAAAGTACTTTATTGGTATAGCAGGGTTTGGGGTTTGTTTTTGTTTGTTTGTTTTTTTTTTTTACTTGGTTTGTTTTTTGGTTTTTGGTTTTGTTTTTGGTTTTTTTTCCTAAGGATCACTTAATTGGAAAGCTATATGGCAACTATCTGAAATTTCAGGCAATGTTTTATATTCATTATTCTGTGACCCAAATCCATTCCTGTGCTCTGGTGTGGATGACTGGCAGTTCCTAATTTAATTTACCCGTATTCTTTCACAAATGAGAATAAACTTTGGATTTAATATATTCTTTTGTACTATAATATGTAATAAGTGTATCAAAGAACACAGGACATGAGAAAGATCATCAGATTCTAAAGCTCAGGAGAATTTGGAGCATTATTAGAGAAAAGTAGAAAATGTTCATGGGTGCTGTTTGCAGAAAACAAAATGAACAACCATTGCCCATCCTTCTTGCCACACTACCTATTATGAATCCATACTCGAGGTGCTCTGTGCCACATCAGATATTTTCCTCTGTGTATCAATTATGATCTGAATTTTTTCAAATTTCAGGTATTTAAAAAGCATAATAGTGGAACATTTACAACAGTATTTCTTAGGAGAACACTCATTCCATTATGTGTGTGCTATTTAGACACTTTTATACTCTTCAATCTTTTTTAATATCTGGTAATGAATCATGTGGAACTTGAAGACTGACTGAGTAGCACTATTAACTGAAGTGTATACTAACCAAGGGTGAGGTTATTAACTAGTCCCTTTATATATCTGTGGAGGGCTTAAGGATTCCTAGACCATGAATTTAGCTCAGAGGCTTTTGTTTGTTTGCTCTTTTTTGTTTGGTTCATTTCCATCATCTATCTTTCAAGCAAGAAAACTAGGGCATCAATTCGTTTTAGAAGGAGAATGTTGTTACTGGATTGGAAAACACCGTATGTGCCCTAGCCTTTTATCAGATTCCTCAAGAACTCAAAAAAAATTTGTGATTATCTAGGTGGGTGAAGCAAAGGGCGCTTAAAATGAATGGATTAGAATGTAAATCTATAGAAGTTATTACATTTACTGACTTTTCTTCCAGTAACACCCTCTAATGTTGTCAGATGAAAAATATGACTAGTCTGGTTTCCTCATTTCCAGTGTTTTAAAAATTGGATTTCTTTTGTACATTCTTGTCAGTAAAATCTATTTTCATGTTTGACTGTACCTGAGTCACCTAATAGATGTTATTCTGCAGTTCTATTTAGTTCATTGTAGATTCATCTTAAAACTGTGTGCAACTTGAATTTCACATCTGTGTTCAAATTTTTTCCTACTGCCTTTGTATTGAAATGTCACTGTGCAATTTTGTCTTAATATTTTGATGGCCTTGCTTATCACATAGTCAGGAAAGTTTGCAGACACTTCTAAGATTTTAAGCCAGAAAATACTTCATTGAGATATGACTGTATAAGTGTAGACCTTTTTTTGTCAGTCACAGGGAGAGTGGCAGTTTTCTTGTTGTACTTTTCAATCTTTGATACTGGCTCTGCCTTTTGAGGAAAGTTGTCTCTATGCTGTCACTAGCATGCCCATACATATAACTGGGTACAGTATAGAAAAATGTCAGCGTATGTGTTAACCACTCATAACAGCAAACATGTTGGTTTTTAAATGTCCTGGGGCTGGAAAGAAACAATTACAGAAGGAAACCTGTTGCAGCAATGTTACAGGGAAAAAGGTAGCAGTGAAAGGGCACAAAGCATGAGGTTGAGTGAACATGTACAGAAAACAGACAAATTGGGTTAACATCCTTTGACACTGGCTGTTTAAAAATAGGAAAACAAAGTACAGAAATACCATGGCGCAGACAAGGCAGTAATATCCTCAAGGCAAGTAGCAGCAAATGGAAGAGTAAAGGACACATAGTGAGGTGTAAATACATAGGAGATAGAAGGTGAAGGAAGAAAGGAGCAGTGGAAGTAGATGGCTTTCACGGCAGGAAGAGCAGCAGAGCCCCCTGCATCAAGGAAAAAGAAAACTGTAGAGAAATTAGCAATTCACTTGTGGCTGGAAGTGGATTCAGGAGGAGAGAAGGTCCATGTGGCAGGGAAGAGGATGGCTGCAGGAGCTCTGGCACACTGGAAGGACCATAGCTCTCTGTTGGTGCCTGAACTGAGGGTGGTTTTTTATTTAGTCAGTCTATTTGTTCAGTGATGGGAGTGAAAGGATGAGCAACTGTATCCACATCAGAATTCCTTATTAATTGTAAAAATAAGAAGATAGAGCATAGTTCACAGATTGTATTATTTTCTAACAGTCCAGTCTTGAAGCATGTCTCATTTTTATGTCGGGAAGCAGTAGGTCCCACTGGACAGTGGTGGTCCTGAGGCCATTGCTTCCTCTGCCCTTTAGAGTATGACCTTGGGCAGGTCACGGCACTGTTTTTGCCTTAGCTGCTTCTATGTGAAATGCAGATGATAGCAATGTCCAATATTGTAAAGCACCTTGAGAAATGCAGGAGCTATCTGTTCATTTTTGCCTAGCCATGCTTTTTAATGGTTTAAATTGCCTGTTAGCTTCTTAAAGAAAGGTTGAATAAGGCATAGCATTAAAGTTTTCATGGAGACATTTGGAGGAACAATTAAGTAATTCTTTTATATAATGTGATTGCATATCCTGTGTAGTTTCTATTTTGTAAACATTAAAGAGCTAAGTTCAAGTTGTTTCACGTCAACAAAGCATAGAGTCTTGCAAACTTGCTGCCTCTGCAAACAGCAGAGGTGTCTCAGTGCAGGACCGGGGTAGCCAGATAGAGGGAAAGAAATGCAGAGACCTGACCCTGCGACGTAGTGAAGCGCCTTTGTCTGCTGTGGACTGTTTAGGGGAACAGCTTTAGCCCAGTGTTAATATTCATACACATCACAATTCAGGAAAAAAAAAAATCACCTTAGCTGGATCAGAAGAAATGTGAAAATTTATGTAGAGTCTCCATATCAGGAGTAGATTAAGGAAAAATGAAACAGAGTATTGAGATTGAAGAAAGCAGAAATAGAGAATGAGATTGTTAACTAAACATCATGTGTATAGTAAGTTTCCTTAAGGCTATAGTTACCCAGTGATAGTGCAAAGATTAAAACTTCTCTTTCAGTCATTTGGGCATTTCTTCCTTGTACTGTAGTGCTGCCTGGAACTAAGGATTAGGTCTCTCTTGCTGTGGGCATTGCGTAAAGATCCAGTATGGTACTCACTGCCAAAACTGCTTGCAAACTTGGGGGATACAAATAATCACACACTGGTTTGAAATTCCATATGTAAATGGGTATCTGTTATGCCATTACAGCATCAGGTGGAAATGTGGTTACTAGCAATGTATTAAATGTTATAAATGGGTAGCTATTAGAGTAGCATGAGTTTTCCTGAGGCAGAAGGAGTGATATTTTCTTAACGAATCAATTTGTGAATGTGCAGGGAGTACATTGATCACTAATCTCCTCCATCTTTTAGAGGTGAATGCTGAAATTCTTGTCTTCACCTGAATAACAACAAATTTCATGTGCCATGTTCCTTGACACTTTGATTACATTTTTTTAATATTTATAGACAGCAAGTTCAGAATACTTAGAATAATATATCAATTCTTTCTCTTTTTACAGAGAGAAACTAAAGGTCAGTTTCTCATAGATCACATCTGCAACTATTACAGCTTGCTGGAAAAAGACTATTTTGGCGTTCGATATGTTGACCCTGAGAAGCAGAGGGTATGTATATGAACTCTGACTACATTTGCTTTTAAGTAATGCTGAATTGATTTTTTTCCAATAAACAGGCAAGTTCTAATGCAAAGTTATGTATCTCTGAGGGTTTATTCTCTGGCCATAATCCATAGAGTTCCTAAAGTGGCATTATTAAATTAATTTTCCCCTTAGTTCATGTATATAGTTTCAAGTTAATTGATGTATTCTGATTTGTGTAGTTCTCCTGGGCACTGAGGATAGAAAAGATCTATAGGCATGACTCAGAGATAGCACAGGGTAGCCCTAGGCTCTGGCAGTGCACTGGAATTTGGGATTTCTATTTTTCTATAGAGTATGCTTCTTGGGAGATGTAGGCAGGAATCCTATTAACAGCTAAAAGCAGTCATTCTATTCCACTTTTCACAGGGCGCATGGACTTAGATATCTGTAATACATAAAATAGGTATGATTTGTCAGGTTGGGAGGGGGTTTCTTCAGGTTAGTTCTCCCTATGAGCATCTTTACATTTGTGCAATAATATTTACAGGCCTGTACTCTAGGCATTTGTGTAGACAGTGATTAGTCATCTCTCTTAGGTGGAAGGTGGTCCTGCAGGTTGTATTCTGTAGGTGATTTGCTACTGCTACTCCCTGTTTGGTTTCAGATGATTATTACTGTTTAAGCGTAGGAAAGGATGGTCAACACAGGAAGCAGAAGTCCTCAGGTAGTGAAATTGAGAACTGCTTCTTCACTCTGTGGTCCTGCTGGTCTCAAGGTTAAGACTTAGATATGACTTTAAATATCATGGGGGACATATACTGGCAGTTAAACTCTGGAAATGTTCACCAGTTTGAAACTGCTATGATTCAGGAGGAGAAAAACATTTTGCTGGCTATCTCTTGCTACACCCTAATAAGTTTTGTCAAAAGTCACTGGAATTAGGGCATCACCCCCTGCTCAAACTTATAGAATTGCAATAGCTTTGCAAAGCTGCAGCAGGTCATTTCCATTGCATTCTCCTTTTAAAATTAAAATAAGTAGCAGAATACTTAGCAGTTACTATGGCCAGTGTACTTAACTCTTCACAATCATTAAAATTATAGAGGTGTTCACCTGGTTGGAATTGATAGGAGAAGTAGGTGGAGTGCTGCATTAGACTGTAATTAGGTAGGACTTAATGAATACTTGCTTTTGTTGGCCCTTTCTCTGACAGTTACTGAAAAATTGCTATAGAAAAGTTGTTTTACTTAACAGCAATCAAGAGGTTCTTTTAGTAAAAACTTTAATTTTTTTGGCAGAATACTTTAAAAAAGTGATGCTTCAGAAAAACCTCTAAAAATCCCATTGGGATGCCTGTTAAATCATACCTTATGTGGTTCCCATGTTTGAAAGAGCTGTTAACTATATTGACAAATTTGCTGCAGTATCTTATTCTTGTTGGCTATACAGTTGTTCTTTTACATCTTGTAGTATAGCTAATTCTGTGTTTTGTTTATGGGAGATTATAAATTACACTGAATCTTAAGTTTTCTCTTGGTAAATAGTAAAAGACAATCTGAGAAAACATTTATAGTCTTACCTAAAAAATCTTAGGTCTTCATTTCTCTTTATATCTAACAAACAAGAATACTGTGGCCATCCTGTGTAGGTAGGATGGCTTATATCAACTGGCCCAGTCTTCAGTGGGATTTAGTTAAGCAAACTTCTCAAGCTTACATTTTCCATACATGCATTTTTAAATGCTGATTTATAGTCACTCTCACTTTTTAAGCATATGGATAATTTCTCTAATTGGGTATTAGTTCTTGATTTTAAACTCTCTCATGAATTAGGACATGAATTATAAGGGACATTTCTTTATACCGACTTAAGTGCTCTGGCTGATGAGTTGAAAGCAACATACATTTTTCTTTTAGGCTTATTACAATTCATCAAAATAAGCCATTTTTACATGCAGTGTCTTCTATTGTCCCTTTGTCCTGTTCTGTTCTGTTGGGGTTCCTCCCCCCTTTTTTTTTTAAGATTACACTTCTAAATATTTATACATGAAATGCTTTCCCTCGGAGTGGATATTTCCTCTGCAACAAAACCTGTCCTAAGGACTAAACTGCAGACAAATATTATAATAAAGAAATACTGGGTTTATGACATCTGGCTCTTTTGAATCTCTGATCTTGTAGAGGTTCGCTTATCTGAGTCTTACGTCTGTATTGAATACAGATGCATGAATACCTCCCAGTCAGTTACAGGAAGACTCTGAAACTGTAATTACAATTCTTCTCCAATCAGCAGAAGACTGTTCTGATCTTTTTCTGGTCTTAAAGAAGCGTACTAACCAATGATTTCCTAGTAGTATAATAAGCATGGGACTTTATGAGTAATTGTGCTGGGGCCCAGGCATTGTAGCTGGATAAAGTTCATCAGTAAATGGCTCAGTAGAAAAATAGAGGAAATCATGATTTTGCAATGATTGGGTAGGTGATGGATCTTCCCACGGTTTTGTATTTTAGCAGTTGTGAGCTTAGCTGCCTGAAATTCATGTTAATAAAACCCCCTGAGATTACAGGGGAGTAGCTGTTCAGGAATGTGGTTATAGAGATAAGCTGTAGCAAGTATAAGGTGTAGTGGGGTCACAGGAGGAATGCCACATTGTTGTAGCCACCTTACAAGAAAGAGTACTTAGAGCTCTGTAGAAGAGAATTCCAAAGCTCCATGGAATTCTTGCAGGTCCCACCAAGGAAAAAGGGAGAGAGATTTCCTGCAGTACATTCTTAGAGTTGGTCAGACGTATTACAAAACAGAAGCAGTAGCTCAGTAAAGGTCTGTAGGTGGAATTCACCAAGAGCTTCTTTCTAAACTTAAATCTGGTGATTTGACTGAGAAAATTGCTTTGAAGGGAAGTGATAATTCATCCTAAACCAGTTCAATGATGTGTGTGACAAAGTCCTTCGGTGCCCTGTAGGCAAATAAAGACATGCGGGACAATGAATAAAATGAATATTGCCTGGTCTGGGTTTGGCAGTAAGCCACCGGCATGATGTGACATGATAAAAGAAGACACTTTGTTTCGCCCTTTTTAGGATTGTATTTTCAGGAAAGTATTAATGTCATTACACCCTAATGAGACCTCAGCTATTCTGATCTAGATGTCTGCATTTAAGAAAGATAAATTTAACTGAATGAGGAGAAGGAGTATTAGAAAGATAAAGAGAAAGGAGAGCTTGTTTTTGAGACAATGTTAAGAAGGGCATAACCCATTTAGTGCAGCAAAAAGAAGGATAAGGATATGGTTAAAAGAATGGTAGAATATGGTAGAAAGAAAAAGAAAGTTTAAGCAAGAGAGGTGGTTTCTTAATTAAGCCAACGAGAGCTGCAGCATCTGGAACAGCCATAATGGAGGCAATGGGGCAAAATTCTTAACTAGATTTGTAAAGAACTTTAAGAGAGATCTCTATAATTTTTTGGAAGGGGTTTATACTAAAAGTTGACAGAGATAGAGACTAGGTACCATCTTCTGAAGTTTCTTTCAAAGAATATGTAATAAAAGCTGAAACAAGAAAGCATAACCTTTTTTTTAGGAGAGTTATTATTGATTCTGGTGCAGGTAGCGTACAATTCATGTTGCTTTGCCTGTTTTCTTGGAAGTGTTGAATGCCTCTGTTGTAGTTTATATTCCACTGCATAATCTCTGTCTTTGAACAGAAAGGACTCTATCTGTGGTTCCAAATCAAACTGCCAAAATCATGCATTTAATTCTGGCTTTTAGTGAATTATTCTTGATTGGCTCTTTGAATTGTTAAGCTATATGACATCATAGTATATTATTGTGTACACACATACATATATATATATATACACATAAATAGTATGCAGAATTACTCCTGCTGGTGTTTAGTCTACCAGTGATGCTTGCCTCCCTTTTATTTGTATGTAATTTTTTGTGTGAAGGTTGTGGAGTTGCTCCAAAAGCTAATTTGCAGTCTGTTTGTTTTGTAATCTATTGAGGGAGTTCAAGCAGGAAAAAATACCAGCTTTAATTCATCCTAAATGTCTTCTTTCACACTATGCTACCAAAATGTAGCATTTTGACTTTGGAGTGTTGAAACACTTGACTGAGTTTGAGAATTTTAAAAATCTACTGTTTCAATATTTCAGATGTTTCAAATGAAATGTTTCAATATTTGTGTTTAGAACATTCAGAACTTCTGACTTTGTGAAAAAGTAGATAATTGAGCTAATTGTCTTAGGTTGGAACAATAAATTTGAAATGTGGGAAAACTGTGATGAGAAACAGCTGTTAGTTTTATAGGTTATTTTTCAAGTAACTTTTAATGTATACTCTTTCCTCCCTCCAGCCCCCTTTTATGATAATCCTTTCCTTCTGCATAAGTAAACATGTGGATATTTTAGGCATACTTAAATTTTGTAAAATTTTCTATAGTTTTCCATTTTCTATTCCACACCCAAAAAAGAAACTCTGGAAGACACTCTTAACAGAAGGCAGCATGGTAGCTTTTTTAATATCTTCGGGTATACAGGAGAGAAACAATGCCAATGACGTCAAATTGAACTAGCAGTTAAAGACTCTAGGTGCTACACCATATCTACTGCTTTATCTTCTAGCATCAGATATGGATGTTCCTTTGGGGAAACTGTGCCTTAGGGTAGCTTCAGAAAAGCCATGTTTGTACTAAAAGTATGCAGTAAATTGCAGCATGACATTTTATGTCTAATGGTGCTATGCTGGGAACAAATGACTTCCTAGTGTTCATATATTAACTGTTGAATTTTTTGCTTAGATTTCTGAGAAAACTAAGTATATGGGATCACATTGTCTTTCTCCCTGACTCTCAACTGTAGTAACTTTTGAAGCCAGTTCTGGTCAAATTTGGCTGGGGATATAGGTCTCAAACATTAAGTTCCTGTAATATTTCATGAAGATAAGCTGCCACATCAGTGGGTAAAACCTGATTATGCTTCTCACTGAAGAAAGCACTGTAGGGCAAACCCACTCCATAGGCAAT